TACTTTGATTTGGTATGCACTTAACGTGGGGAACTAATGCCAGTCTCCTGGAACTGAATGGGGGAAAAGATACGACATTCTTTGCACTATTGGTTCTGTGCCAGGCATCTGGCTGGATGCTTTATGTTATCTCATGTAATCCACAGAGAGTGTGTCTAATTCAGAGTGGGGACCTATGACCACAGGAGTGTAAAGTTCACCTCTGCTTTTAGGAGTGAAATGAATGGGATTCAAATAATACCTTCCCTTGGCAATGATCTTCTCTTATAATCAGCCCCTGACACATAGGTTAAGGTTACCAAAATGATAACTTGCATCAAATGATTATTTCTAGAATAACCAGTATCTCTTTCAGTATACCACATAAGAAATCACAAAGAGAAAATTTAGCTAAGGTTTTTAATGGAAAGCTATCATTATCTTGTTTTTTGTAGCCAGTGGGCGTAAGCCAGGAATCAGGTTGGAAGTGGGAGCCCTTTTGGTGGGGCTGAAAACTTTGATCAAGATTCTGCCACGCAGTTCTTTCAGGACAATGACTCTGCTCCACCGATTTCAGTTAATCACAGCAGAGGACAAGGCCTCAGAAGAAGGGGCTCTCCATCCTGTGATCTCCCATTAATGACTGCGGGAATTAAAAAACGAATTTTGTGGGTAACAAAAGTGAGGGCGGGGTGTCAATATACATGATTTTTAAGTTATTGAGATTTTGTTGGAATTTAGTTATTTTTCTTGTTTATGACCAAAATGATGGGAGGAGAGGCTTTAGGGGGAGGTAAGATGGGATAGATGATGCAACAGACCATGCTGCAGGTGCATTGCCTTCTACAGGGTAGATTGTGTCTATACCTTGGGCTGTGCCATACTTTGGATAATGATAATAATTTAATAACAACAGACTGCATATATAGGGGAGTTTAAATTTAATAAATCAGTTTTGAGGTAAGGATTTAAGAAGACATATATCAAGCTAGAATTATTAGTCAAGTTATTATCTTCTGGCCAGGGAAGCTGGTTAGTCTGAGCATCTCAGCTGAGGGGAAGGGGCTAAAGAGGAGAGGGGGAGAAGGGCCTCTGGCCCTTGGTCACCTGGATGCTGAAGGACTCAGGGGGTCCAGCTCCAGCCTTGGTCCTCACACTACTGGGCAGTGAGCAGAGCCAGCATCTCAGCCTGCTGAGACATGGACAGCAGGCCTGGACTACATGTACCTCTGGAGTAGGCAGCACTATGCTCCTGGTCTCCTGGAACTGACATTACTTACTCAGAAATGGAATGTCTGAGATCATTAGGTCAACTCCCTCACAGATGAGGAAACTGAGGCACAGAGAAGTCAAGTGACATCTCAAGTGAATGCCAGAGCTGGGACCAAAGCTCATGGCTCTTGATTCCTGGCCCAGTGACTTTAATGCCCTTGACTAATGGGCAGCTCTGCAGATAGAAAGGCATTGAAGGCTGGCAGGGAAGAATGGGAGAGCCAGGCAGATGGAAGAGAGTGGAGGGGGCAGCTGGTAGGAAATGGGAAGGCTGTAAAGAGCCAAAATATCCATTCCTCTTGGCCATGTCCCAAGGACAAACATAACTCCCAAATATTCCTAATAAGGGCACAAACAGTCACCCAGAAGAACCACACAAATGGATTGACCAAAGGCCATGAAATGTTGTTTATGCTTAATGAGTAAGCACTCCTATTTATTCAGACTCCTAATCCAGCTCTTTAACCTCGTTCTTTCCTTTTAAGTCATTGGAGCCCTTCCTTGCCGTTACTCCCTTCTCATTTGTTGTGTGGCTATCCTTGTACCCAGGGACAACTGCAGTTTAGAATCTATCTGCCCATTTCTCTCAGGTTCTGGGGCAAAGGAAAATGAAGAAGATGAAGAACTTGGGCAATGTGACTTGCCTGAAGTGTTTGATATTCTGAAAAGGGGCTATAGGGAAGAACAATGAGCAAATTCATAAGTCAACATTATGTTTATCCCTCTATTATGAGGGATATGGCCTCTACGGCTTTTGTGAGGCATAATTATTTGTTAGTTTTAGCAAGACATTTCTCTGCCTGCTGATAAGGAAACAAAAAAAGCATTTACTGTGCTACTCTAGAATGTGAACTGTAAGCTGTGGTCTTTTTTTGTTTGTTTATTTGCTTTCAGTTTTAATCTATGATCACAGGCTTAGAGGTTGAAGGGGACCATGGAGGACTGCCAGCCTCCCCACCCTCTTTCATGCGGGGAGCCTCTTCCCGACAGCCCTGCCAGTGATTCAGATCCCTTCCCTCTGAATCCCCACAGAGAGTCGTTTCTACCTCTGTGGAAGCACTTGCTTCATTTTGCCTTAAATTACAGTTATTTGAGGACTTGTCTTAAGTCTCAGCTGTGAGCCCCTGTGGGCAGGGGGTGGATGGGCAGGAATCCTATCTTATTCCTCTTTGATCTCCTACAGCCCCCAACACAGAGCCTGGCCCGCTCTCCATAAATATTTGAATGAGTGACAAGGTGTTAAGAGTCTACAGAGGCAGCCACAGTTGGACACCTCTAATAGCTAGAAAGTTCTTCCCAAAAGTAAGCAGAAATATGCCTCCCTGTGTGCCTTGGGAGGGAGGAGAATGTAATAGGCAGTGATGACAAAAGGCTGGGTGTCTATAGGATATATCTGGGGACAGGGTAATGCCTTGCTCTTACTGCTTTTCTTGCGTTCCATCTGGCCAGAGTACACAAGGCCTTTCTCCAGGACAGGAAAACCCAACAACCTAGATAGATCTGGGTAAGGGGGCAGGGGCATGGATTCCAGGATTTGAATCCAGTTTGGGAGGACAGCTCTATCAGACCCTGTCAGTGTCCCACCCATATGGCCTCAGTCTGCCCTGGGGGTCATCTGCAGGTGATTCTCGTACAGACTGACCGCTTCCTGCATTTATCTGCGGTGATCACTCTCTGACCTCAGAAGTGTGCTTGGTTTGTTTGTGGGTTCGGATGGAAATGCCAGGAACTTACCCCAGGAAGGACCTTCAAACAAAGATCAATGGGACTTAGTGCATCAGTAACCCCGATTCCTCACCCCTCAGTGGGACAGCTCAGAGGTATGTTTTATAGTTTCTCAAAAGGTCTCAACAGGGATTGAACCCCAGTTGCTCATAGAACTTAACATATCCTTTATTCATTTCCCTCCCTTTCCTCGTTGACTTCCCCTCCCTTTCACTATGCTTCCTGGGACCATGCCCAAGTAAACTCTGTCTCCCAAATAATTGTCTCAAGGTCTGCTTTGGGGAGAACCCAAAGTAAGACAATGACATGAGCAGGAGATTTGAGGGACTTCCCATACTATTCTTCCCATAGAAGATGAAACTGTCTGGCTCGTGAATTTTTAAAAAAGAAGATAAACTGTCAAAATCAGTGTGTGCTTTCCCTTCCTCCTCCTTCCTCTCTATTTTTAAGTGCAGAGTGGTTTTTCTGTCAGTTCTATAAATAGAGTTTAATTTTCAATAGAATTTGTGTCCTAACTCAGAAAACAAGGCTGCGAATGGTTCCTACAACTTTGAGGGATAGTTATTTCCCATAACAAGAATCAGTAATATCCTAGTTCTCTTAGGGAAATGCACTATGGCAGAAAGGTCTCAGGACAGACTGAAAAAAGAGATGTCACATAGGGGTCATTAGACATCAGGATGGATTTGTGTAGAAGTTCTTCACTTAACTTTTAAAACTTCCACAGAGACATTTTAAATTAAGAGAGACCCTACCAACCTGGCCCAGGTTTGGGATGGAGTGCTTAGAACTCAGGGACAGCTAAGACGAATGGGGACCATGAGGGAAATGAGAGAGGAAAATAAAGAACCTTCATTAAACCTACTCAGTATTAATGAACTACACCTGAGTTGATAGAACCTAGAGAAAATGCTGTTACTGCAGAATATGTATAATCATTTGAGAAGATTTGTAACAAAGAATGAAGGCGTGTGAATAATCTGCCTCCCTGGTCCTCCTTCATGCAGACATATCGTGTGATTTGGAAAAGCTCCCTGTGGATGCCACAACCTTACCCGATTGTTTTGATACCTCAGATAACTAATAGGAGATAGCAGTTAAAAATAGCCATAATCACTACTGTCTTAGGTTTGTGAGGTTTTTCTTTTGTCTTGTTCCTTCCTGGAGCGTTTTTCAGTGACCTAATAGGAAATAGCATACATGTTCATGAATTTTTAATTAGCAAGCAAAGATGAGAATGAATGTAAACAAAACACAAGATGACAGGAGACAATGGGCCAAGAGAGCTCCTCCTTGATGCCTTTTGGGGTACCCACAGATGCCTTTTGGGGTCAGGTGGGGAAATCTTCCTAAATCAAGCAGGGTTAAGAAAGGGCTTCACAGACCTTATTATTAGCATGGAAAAGTGTGTGGCTTCAAATGCTGTCTTTCTTTAAACCCTGTTTGATGACCAGTGCCTCAGCTCTTTTGGCAGGGCTGAAGGAGGTAGTAGGAAGGTGGGGACATTTTGCTAGGTGATAGGAAGATGTGGAATTACCGTGTCTCCTTTGCCCTCTTTGATGAGTACTTCTGCCCTGTTTGTTGTATGTAGATGGCAATAGTGTCCTGGGTACAGCTCTCCACTGAACAAGAGAGTTGTCTCTGCCTCCTTTAGCTCGTGCCCTCGTCTGAGCCACCACTTCCAAAGAGCGCTCTTGAGAGTTATGTGCCATCCCTGGGAATGACCTCATAAGATGGTTGTGAGGGTTACATAAAGCAGTCCATGTAGAGTGACTGCATTAACGTGCATTAATAGTTGGCACAAAATCTGTGCTGGTTCCCCACAATGAGAAGTCCCTGCTATCTACTGAAATTGAATTGTAGAAAAAGATTTCCCTTGGGCCAAAAACAAATACACTAGTATGGCCTGTACCAGTCTCTCTCAGACTTTTGGGCAGCTCTCTTCCCCAAATATGTGCCCCACAAGAGTGCCCAGTGGATGTCTTTTGAGCCTGCCCCACTGAGCACTCCCCTTTGCTTTCTAGAACGCCTACGTCAACATCAACCGCATCATGTCCGTGGCTTCCCGCCTCTCTGAGGCCGGCCACTATGCCTCACAGCAAATCAAGCAGATCTCCACCCAGCTGGACCAGGAGTGGAAGAGCTTCGCCGCTGCCCTGGATGAACGCAGCACCATCCTCGCCATGTCTGCTGTGTTCCACCAGAAGGCTGAGCAGGTAAGGCCCAGAATCCTGCAGCAGCTGCTGTTGGTGGGAAGGGTTGGGCACGGACAGGGAAGGGCTGGAGCGGAGCACACACACTCTCTGTAGAGTGCTCCACCTATCTTTTTGAAACACTGAAGACCCTGCGGAGTCATTGCAACAATAACCTATGTTCGACCACATTCATGGCCCCTGTGTGCACAAAGAAACATTGGTAACTCTTGGTGACTTTGCTTGTCATACAAACAAGAGGGTACCCAGAGCCTTTTTACATTTTGCTTGGTAGTGGTTGTGTGTGCGCGTGTGCATGTGTGGGCTGTCCGCGTAGTGTGCATTCTCAGAACACAGATCAAAGGGGTGAATGTAAAGTGATCATTGAGGTGCTGAGAGCAGGGGGAAACTAATTTTACATGAAACATTTGCTATGGATAATGGTAATATAATAATAATATAACGGGTCAAGATAATAATTACTCGTACTTACTAAGTGGCCAGGCATTGGCCAGTTACATGATAACCCATTTTACAAAGAGGAACACTGAAGCTCGGAGACATTAATTGATTGGCCTGCCTAAGATTCCACGATGTGTTGGAGCCTGTATTGAACCAGCTCATAGAGAGACAATTGTTAAATTTTCAGGAATTTTGTGAGCTGGTTATCACATTCTAGCTATTGCTTAATTATGTAGGTTTATAATTAAATATGTTATGTTAAAAGCAAAGTTAATAAATACTCAAAACTCATCACTTGCTGATTATTTTACAACCTGTTGTTATTACCTATGTTCTTGAAATCATTTTTATGCATTTATATTTTTCTGTGGTGGAAATACCATACAATTGTGTGCTATGTATGGATTACTCTTCCCAACTCCATGTTGGTGATGTCACACTGGTAGCTTAAAATACACCATGGTAGGAGTTTCATATTATAGAAATTATCAGATGCTACAAACCAGGAATTAATTCATTGCTTTATTGTTGCCTAGAGTCTAAAGAAAATGAGGGAGAAAGTGTTTGAAAATGCAGACTAAACTTAAAAACGTGTCCTGTGTATAGCTGTTACATTGTGAATAACACACAAAAATCAAGGAAATATTCTTCCAATATTCAAAAACTGTTTTTTGGTTCAGCAAAGAAGTCGCTGACATCCTTGATGAACAAGTGATGTTCTGGCGTAGTATTCAGGTGTTTTTCACCTTTGTCTCACTCCTTAGCATAATGAAAATATCAACTAGCATGTGTGTCAAAACTATAAATGTTTGTCAGTTGCAACCATAGGTCAAAAGCATCCTGTGAGAATCAACTGGCTACATTAAATATACAATACAGAGCATTGTATATGTTGTTCTCTGTAAATGGTGTGTTATACATTCTTTATATCAGTAGAATTTGTAAATGCACTTACCTGTATATATGTAATATATAGTCATATACACACGTACATATATATGCCGGTTGTTAAACATTTACTAACACACCACTGCTAAAATCGCACAATCTATGAGTAGATAGGCTATCAACTCAGGTGTGTTTAACACTAGGCCTGTGGTCTTAACCTCTACATTTCTTTCTTTGCATTACATTTGGGTAACATAGGCCAAGGAGAGTCAGACACCTGGTCACACCTTAAATCTCTCCCTCTGTTACCCTCTCTAGTGTGAAAGGCAACATAGCATAATTAAAAGTCTAGACTTTGAGGCAAGACACATGGATTCTGATCCCAGCTCCACCATTCATTTACCCTTAGACAAGTCATGTCACCATTCTGAGCTTGTTTTCTCTTCCATAATGTGGAGCTAATCATAAATAGCACAGGGCTATTTCTGTGCTAAAGGGCTGTGCTAAAGATACAACATGAGAGATGGAATGTGTAAGGTGCCTCATGTGCTTACTAAACAGTGGACGTTACTACTATGGGTATTTGCACCATGTACTATCCTGGTATCTTTTTATTTCCTCCACCTGAGAATTTCCCAAAGACTGAAATAATGCTTGTGTCAAGCCCAACCCTATACTTTGAGAGGGATGTGGCCACATCTTTTTGTCGCTGTTGTTAAGGTTGTTGGTGGTAGTGACTGATAGTGACTGATTCATTCTTAGGGCCATGAGAATATTGATGTCCAATTTCCTGTTCTCTCTTCAACTGTATCACTTTCATACTTTATTCAAGGTTTGCCCAGATTGGTAAGGAAGACCCCCTGCTTCTCTCTTTGTCTCTCTGGCATTATATCCTTGAGGTGATCATTTTGTGGGATATGCTACAGGCCACCTGTTAGAATATTGCAGAGAAATCCCAAGAGCCTTGAAGCAGTGCTCCCCCCATGATTGACACAAGAATGTCAAGTGGCTCCTAGGGTCATTTGTAAAGTAGTTATTGGTGGAGCAAAGAAGCTTCTGAGATTTCAGCATGTACATATTATATGATGTGATACTGGATGGCACCTGGCACTCTTCCAGAATTGCTAAGAAATGGTCTAATGTGTTACAAAATGTACAGAATGAAAAGTCAACCACAACAATCAACAGGCCGGGGACTGAAAGCTGACAGTGACAACAAAACTAGAATGCAAACGGTTGCAGTGCCAGAACTGAGAAAACTGGAGAAGTGCACATTTATTTCATGTTTCCTGATTTGGACTGGTTTGGATCAGAAGCAATTTTATTTGTATCTATTTTTTAATGCAATTTCTGTAGGTATTACTAGTCCTTCAGGGACACTCATAAACCATGCTTCTTTTTAACTGGGGAAAAAAATGACTCAAGGCTATTTTTTTCCATGCACATATTTAGGCAGCTCTTTATTGTCCTCATATGGGCTGTTCTTGGCAATGGGATTAAAAGGTATTTAGGCAATTAATTTAAATGGAGCTGTGCATCCAGGCGAGAGGAATCACAGACAGAACAATTCCAGACTGTTGGGTGAATTATTTGCATTTTCAAGGTGCATTTTTCCACCCAATAAATCGGAGTGATTTCAGTTAGCTTACCCTTTGTGCATGAAGACCCATAGTCTTCCACAGCTGTTAATTTTAATTTTAAAATAATTTGATGTCTGTCAAGATCTATGTCTATATATCACAACCCGGGATGCAGTAGGTATAGCACAGCCTGTCCGCCTAGACTGCCTCTCTCGTTTCCACCCTTTAGGGGACTGACCCAACAGTGGGTCAGTGGGAGACCTGTTGAGGGCAGTCTGCATCCCATATGGAATGGTCTCTGCAAGTTCCCTGGGTTCCTGGTGGTCTGTGTGAGGTGTTTTTTGCTTGTCTTCACAACTGGATGTACACACTATAAAGCACAGCTGTGGAACATCTCCTTATGTTACACACAGCCCCTCACATATGCCTGTGAGTGTACATGGGGCAAGAAGCTCTAATGTATCCGTGGAATGTGGTGAGCTGTTTCCGTACCTGGACGTTACAGTTAGTGTGTAGCTATAACCTGTTGAACATCTGGTGATTCACCTGCCCCCTACAGTTTCATAATAGTCAATTTTGTGGAGACTATACTTCCTAAATGGGTACCTGGGTCTGATTTCTTACCAGGAGTTAGTGTTTGTAGAATTAAAAAACTCTACCCTCTACAGTGGTCTCTGAAGGCTTTCAGAAGTCCTGATGTTTTTTCCCAAGGTATCTGACGCTCTGTCCATAATCCACCCAACTCCCTACCCCCAGTGCTCCCCCACTGACCCACCCCGCGTCTCCTTCCAGTTCCTGTCGGGAGTGGACGCCTGGTGCAAGATGTGCAGCGAAGGTGGTCTGCCATCCGAGATGCAGGACCTAGAGCTGGCAATCCACCACCACCAGACCTTGTATGAGCAGGTGACCCAAGCCTACACAGAGGTGAGAATGGAACAGGGCAACCATGGGTCTTGAGCATTTCTGCATGTGGATGGGTGACGAGGGCACTGGCCTGTGCACTGTGAAATAGCCTGGGTGGGACTAAGAAGAAGAGAGGCTGTTTTTCTTTTTTTGGTGACATCTTTAGGAACCTTGATCTATGAACTATGGTGTCTCCAACCAGGAAGGAGAACAAATTGGGGCCATTATTAGGCATCACTTTGGTGCACTCACATTCATTCTCTCTCTCTCTGTCACACACACACACACACACACACACACACACACACCCTATACACTTGCCTTATCCTGTGTGTGAAGACTGGACTTTCTCCTCTTGGGGGAGGAATATAAGAAAATGAAGCTGTGCTTTTTCTGGAGTTTGCTTTCTGGTTGGTGAATGGACATGTACACACTAGCCCTGCCACCTTTTTTATGAAGCAGCTCATCAAAAAAATACTAATTTTCTCACCAGAAGATCCAGAGGAAAACACACAGCGTGGAGATAGTGTTTGCAGGAGTAAAAAGCTTCTGTGAATGTGAAGGACAAAGACTCTTCCATTGAAAAATCAAAGGCAGGGGGTTGCTGTAAAGTTAACAAAGGGAAAAAAAACCTCTTGACAGTCCTCTCAAAGTGAAAGGAAACAGCTACATAGGTACCTCTGTGTAGATATACACAAGTTAGTATGTTTGCTAACTGGCATGAATTCTGAGGAAGGGAACTGAGGGATGGAGCGGGATGGGCTGATTAAGGAAGCTGGATGAGGAGAAGTGAATTCACATACAGCCCAAGTGTTTCCTCTGGGCAGGATTAGTTAGAGGAGTATTAAAATGGGTTCCTGGACCACCTGCATCAGACTCACCTGATACAGATTCCTGGGTCCCACCCCAGACTGAATCAGAATGTCAAGAAGTGAGACCTGGAACCTACATTTTAATAACTATTACCCTATTTGAATTTGATGCACATTGAAGTCTAAGAACCAATGGCTTCTGGGTAAGAATAAGGGTTTTTGCCACAGTCAAACTGACTTTGAATCCTGGCTCTCCGATTTACTAGCTGTGTGACCTCAGTCAAGTTACTTAACCACTCTGAGCTTCGTTTCATCTGTGAAATGAAAGTCGTAACATCTGCCTCATAGGATAGTGTTGAGGTTATAAAGGTAATGCATGACAATTCACAATTGCAAAATTGTGGAACCAGCCTAAATGTCTATCAGCCAACGAATGGATAAAGAAAATGTGGTATATATACACCATAGAATACTACTCAGCCATAAAAAGGAACAAAATAATGGCATTCACAGCAATCTGGATGGAGTTGGAGACCATTATTCTAAGTGAAGTAACTCAGGAATGGAAAACCAAGTATCGCATATTCTCACTTTTAAGTGGGAGCTAACCAAACACCACCTGTTCCCCAAAACTATTTAAATAAATAAATCATAGTACCCAACAAAAAATTTAAAAAAATAAAATGAAGGTAATGTATATAATGCACTTGGCCCAGTGTCTGATAGTAATGAGTACTAAAAAATGGTAATGTATTCTGTCATTGTAGAAGGCACAATGAAGGACTTATGGGCCAAATCTGATCTCATCAGCTCTGATCCATATGGCCCAAAGCTTTCTGTCTTATAACAGAACTGTGCCTCTGCCCATGGGTCAAGAATCTTTAAATTTACTCCTTGCAAAATACAAATATAGAGAGTACAAATGAGATTAATATTATACTTCCACATATGTGAAGTGTAATTATACATATAGATACAATATTTCTCTCAATTAATTATCAGGCCCTAGCATTGTGAGGCTTAAACCTTCCCTTCAACCCCACTTCAGAGACCAGTGAGCTGTCCCTCCTTCCTACAGATGTAGAGACTGAGGCAGAGAATTGGAGCTCATGCAGGGTGGATTTCTAGGACTTGGGCCTCCATCTCTAACCACCCTGCCCTGGACATAGCATGGTGCCAAAAGACAGCATTTGCTCAGAATTCCAGGAAGAGAGCGCTCCTGGGTTTGGCTATAGGATGTTTGTCTTACTCATGTCTCTGGTGGGCATCACTTCTGCATTATTTATAAGCTACTTCCCCTACCCCACTCTCCTGGCAGTCTATGGGAGATGGGGATGGTGGGATTGGGTGGGTGGTGGTGGTTTCCTCTCCTGGCCTCTGCTGCACTCTACTCCAGCACCCCTCCTAATCACCCTGCCCTGAAAGCCTTTCTGTGGCCCCATGGGCAGGAGGAGTAACAGCTGCTTCTGTATTCCTGGACCCCCAGCCAAGCTATTATCAGGGACCAAAGGAAGGGTGAGGGGAGTATGCAAACCCGGCAAACAGCTTCATCATCAGAGGTGTGGAGATGGAAACACACCTCATTCCCTACCTTGCTGATGAGATAAAAGACCATTTTCATCTCCCAAAGCCTTTTTTTGGGGAAGACTCCAAGCCAACTTTGATTTAGTTGGTAACCACGTTTGGGGACTCAACATTTCTATCAATTCCCAGTCACCCCTGTTTTAAAATGGAAAGATGCATGTTCTGTTGGGTACTTTGCCAAGTACAGGAGGGCCACAGGTGTTGATTGTATGATGTCACTTTCCAGAATTATTGTTGCCCGCGATTGTGCCAGAACTCCAATGAGAAGAATGGCAGAGAGTGTCATCCCACTTTTCTCAGACTGAGGGCGAGTGTTGGGATGTGGATGGTGTGTCAACAGTCTAAGTGTCCCAGCCTTTCTCTGCATGTTCTAGAAAAATGAGAATTTTACTGCTTTTCAGAAGAAAGAAGGGGGTCGTATAGAGCGAGAGCAAAGTATTTTAAAAGGATAAAGACAAAAGAAAGAAAATGACAAGGAAATAAAGAGAATGGGAGGGAGATGATGATGATTATGATGATGGTTGTATTAGTCTGTTCTCATGTCACTAATAAAAACATACCTGAGACTGGGTAATTTATTTAAAAAAAAAAAAGAAGAAAAAAAACAGGTTTGATGGACTTACAGTTTCACATGGCCATGGAGGCCTCACAATCATGGCAGAAAGTGAAGGAGGAGCAAAGTCATGTCTTACATGGTGGCAGTCAAGAGAGTGTGTGCAGGGGAACTGCCCTTTTATAAAACCATCAGATCTCATGAGACTTATTCACTAACATGAGAACAGCATGGGAAAAACCCATCCCCATGATTCAATTACCTCCCACCAGGTCCCTCCCACAACATGTGAGGATTATGGAAACTACAATTCAAGATGAAATTTGAATGGGGACACAGACAAACCATATCAATGGTGATGCTGATGAAGATAAAATTGGTAGCCAGTATCACGTCAGGCTCTATTCTAAACACTGTATGTGTTAACTCATTTAATCCTCAACATGACTTTATGAAATATGTACATAATTCTCCCTCTTTTACAGAGAAGGAAACTGAGGACCAAGGGGGTTAAGTAACTTGTCTCTTGTCACACATCTAGAATTTTAGAGTCAGATAGAGGAATTTGGGAAAGAAAGAGCAGGAGAGAATTATGGTGGGAACTTATATTGACTTCATTTCTGAAATGAAGTTATGCTGTCTTACCTGATGTGAGTCAGTTAAAATATTTACCAAGCCTGGGCGCGGTGGCTCACGCCTGTAATCCAAGCACTTTGGGAGGCTGAGGCGGGCGGATCACCTGAAGTCTGGAGTTCGAGACCAGCCTGGCCAACATAGTGAAACCCCATCTCTACTAAAAATACAAAAATTAGACAGGCATGGTGGCACGCACCTGTAATCCCAACTACTCAGGAGACTGAGGCAGGAGAATTGCTTGAACCCGGGAGGCAGAGGTTGCAGTGAGTGGAGATCGCACCATTGATTGCACTCCAGCCTGGGGACAAGAGCGAGATTTTGTCTCAAAAACAAACAAGCAAACAAACAACAACAACAACTAAAATTTGCCAAGTGCCTACTGTGTGCCAGGCACTGTTTTGGGCATTGAGGGGAGAACAGCAAGTAGGCAATGTCTCTGCCCTCACAGAGCTGAAATTCAGGAGGGGAGAGAGTCTCACAGACAACTGGCCAGCACTCCAGCAACTCCCCCATCAGAGAATTCCAGGTGCTCGGCCCTCCACCAGGCTGGAGGATCATGGCAGCTCTGGCTGGCTAGGTATCTGGGTATGGGATTCCTGAGATTCTCAGAAGGCATAGTCAGGGACCCTCAGGCAGATACTTACTGCTTCTCTCTGTGCCCTGCCTATCACCCTTTTCCCTTAACCTAAACTTCTCTCTTTCCTGCAGGTCAGCCAGGATGGCAAAGCACTGCTAGATGTGCTGCAGCGGCCCCTGAGCCCTGGGAACTCAGAATCCCTCACGGCCACAGCCAACTACTCCAAGGCAGTGCACCAAGTGCTGGACGTGGTGCACGAGGTGTTACATCACCAGCGACGGCTGGAGAGCATCTGGCAGCACCGCAAGGTGCGGCTCCACCAGCGGCTGCAGCTCTGTGTCTTTCAGCAGGACGTACAGCAGGTAACAGGCTCTGAGCCCTGGTGTCCATCATCCGTTCTAGGAGGCAGACCGAGCTCAAGTCCCTGATCTAGGTGATCAGGCTTAGGAGAGCACAGACTTATAGAGGGAAAAATGAAATTCAGCTCTCAAGTGCTCCACAGAACCCCCACCAAAACACAAAACAAAAACCGGACCTGTGAATTGCGTGTTTCTTGCCTAAGTGACTTTATAGACTGGCCTTCTCACCATGTGATATTGGAAAGGGAGACTTAGTTTCAGGAACTGCAATTCCTCATCGTCATATGGCACATTTTTCTTTGGTTTTGTTTTGTTTTGTTTTTTGGAGAGAGAGTCTCGCTCTGCTGCCCAGACTGGAGTACAGTGGTGTAATCTTGGCTCATTGCAACCTCCACTTTCTGGGTTCAAGTGATTCTTGTGCCTCAGCCTCCCAAGTAGCTGGGATTAAGGGCATATGCCACCACACCCAGCTAATTTTTGTATTTTTGGTGGAGACACGGTTTCACCATGTTGGCCAGGCTGGTCTTGAACTCCTGACCTCAGGTGACCCGCCCGCCTCGGCCTCCCAAAGTGTCAATATGGGTTAGGGTTAGGGCCAATGTGGCACATTTTTCGTTTGGTGAGCTTGACCCACACTCAGGCAGTGATTGCTAGACAGCTTGGGGGTGGGTGGTTATCTAAGCACTGTCAGGCTTGGACCCCACATATGGTCCATCTGGGATGCAGGTGGCCTACCAGAGTGGAGGTGAAGTGGGGTACAGGGACCTTCAGAGGATTCCTTTACAAGGTTGGACCAGGAAAATCAGATTTAAAACCTGGGCTGTTGTTCAGTGTATGTTTCATGATTACAGGTTATTTCTGACTTTATGTAGTTTTTTTTGTATTATGACATCAGTTGTGGCTTTTTCCTTTACCACTAATAACAAAGAAATGGTTATGTTTCTGACCACAAAAGGACAGTCTTGCTACAAATGCCCTTTCAGATGAAATAACCCATTCTTTTCTCCTTGTACTTTCTCTGTTTCTGTCTTCCAGGGGACCCTGGGATCTTTCCTGGAGGATTGATATACTAGGGCGGGGGGAGCTGGTTGGGAGATGGGGACTGAGATCCAGTCTCACTGTCTGTCATCTCTCTCTTAGTTCACCATAGGAGAACTAAGGATGGGCTTAGTTGTCCTAGGATGGGCTCTGCAGAGCTTCAGAGGAGCTGCTGGGGTGGAAGCACTTGTGTTCAACACCTGTTTGACTTTTCTGTGGCTACCGTGTAACTCCAGGATTATACATATAAAATAACAATTCACTCTCCTTTCATTCTTTTGTGGCATCAGCCAGGTATAATCCAAGGATAATCTAATTTATCTACTGTATTATATAATACAATGTAATCCATTGTATATTTCCAGTGTAGTGAAATACACATGGCAAATTGAGAGCCAACTGTACATGTCTTTGGGATATTGGTTCCCTTCACCGGTGTCATTAGAGGGGCCTCTGGTGCTGGGTGCCTGAAGTAGTCAGGCCGAGTGGAGGGAGAGTTCAGCATTCTTGTCACTGACTGTGACACCCTCTGAATAGGGGGATAGTCACTGTGCAATCAGTCCCAGGAGCAGTTGGGCCTTTGGGCATGTCCTCACTTCTTGGGCTGCCATAACTCGCCTTGCAGAGTCCTATTCTGACTGGAGCATCAGTTGAGTCATCAGAGGCAACACCTCGGCCCCAGGAGAAATGGGCACTACTGATGTGCTGGCCGCAGTTCTGAAGCCCTCATGGGGCCTGCTGGGAGTGGAGAAGCAAATGAATCAGTTGCCTACTCCTGCCATCTAGAGCTATCCTGATAAATATATCACTCCTGAGTGCAGGAGAGCACAGGAGGTAGTCTGTGATGGAGACAGAGTGAGGTACCAGCCTCTGAAGGCACAAAGGAGAGGCATTGCTATTTCAGTGAACTCTCCATGACTCTCAGAGATGATCTGGGCCATGAATTGTACAATATCCGTGATGTCCTCTTTACCCTCTTGCTGATTTTACAGCTGTTATCCTGGAGAGCTGCAGAGGGGCTGCCAGGAGGGTGGGTGAAAGGCCTCCCCAAGAGGAGGGTGGTATTCCAGACTCCAACTATTAGGGAACTGCTGTGATCTGACTTTTCTGTGGCCACCATGACATCTAAACTAAAGCTAAGAAAAAGTACAAAACCACACCTGTAGTTGTTCTGCATCATGCTTTTAAAAATGAGAGCCTTTCTGAAATTAAGACCCTGTCAGTTCATCACTTTGTTGTTTGTAAATCCATGAGCATGAAATCTTTTTCCATTTATTTGTGTCCTCTTACTTCCTTCAGCAGTGGTTTGTAGTTCTCCTTGAAGAGGTCCTTCACATCCCTTGTAGTTATATACCTAGGTATTTTATTCTCTTTGTAGCAATTGTGAGTGGGAGTTCACTCATGATTTGGCTCTCTATTATTGGTTTATAGGAATGCTTGTGATTTTTGCACATTCCAGAATTATGCAAAAAATCAATTGCATTGATTTTGTATCTTGAGACTTTGCTGAAGCTGCTTATCAGCTTAAGATTTTGGACCAACATCTAGAGAAGTAAAGAAAGCAAGACATTACAAGTTTTGATGGAGGCTTAAAATGTTGAATTTTTAGAAAAATGCTCTGAATCCCAGAAACCTCAAAGAAATCCAGAGATCTGGTGAATAGCAATGTCAGGAATATAAGACAAGGTGAGGACAAGGTGGCTCTTATCATTAGAAGTTAATATAAGAAATTGAGAGTGGAAAATATGTACATGACTAGGTTGTATTTCTGTCAGTCTTTCTACCTCATGTGTAATCTTTTAAAGTTATTTGAATATTATCCTAAGCAAACTAGCACAGGAATAGAGAACCAAACACCACATGTTATCACTTATAAGCAGAAGCTGAACACTGAACACACATGGACACAAAGATGGGAACAGTAGCCACTAGGGACTGCTTGAGTGGGGAAGGTGGGAAGGAGGTGTGGGTTCAAGGCTGCCTATCAAGTACTATGCTCAGTATCTTGGTAATGAGATCACTCATACACTAAGCCTCAGTGACATGCAATTTACCTATGTAACAAACCTGCACATGTACCCCCAAACCTAAAATAAAAGTAAATAAAAAGCAACAAAAAATAAAGAAAAAAAGAAAAAAGATTTTTGGGCCAAGATGATAGGGTTTTCTAAGTATACAATCATGTCACCTGCAAACAAAGACAATTTGACTTCCTCTCTTCCTATTTGAATACCCTTTATTTCTTTCTCTTGCCTGATTGCCCTGGCCAGAACTTCCAATACTGTGTTGAATAGGAGTGGTGAGAGAGGGTATCTTTGTCTTGTGCTGATTTTCAAAAGGAATGCGTCTAGCTTTTGCCCATTCAGTATGATATTGACTGTGGGTGTGTCATAAATAGCTTTCATTATTTTGAGATACGTTCCATCAGTACCTAGTTTATTGAGAGATTTTAGCATGAAGGGGTGTTGAATTTTATCAGCCTTTTCTGCCTCTATTGAGATAATCATGTGGTTTTTGTCATTGATTCTGTTTATGTGATAGATTATGTTTATTGATTTGCATATGTTGAACCAGCCTTGCATCCCAGAAATGAAGCTGACTTGATCGTGGTGCATAAGCTTTTTGATGTGCTGCTGTATTTGTTTGGCCAGTATTTTATTGAGGATTTTTGCATTGATGTTCATCAGGGATATTGGCCTGAAATTTTCTTTTTTTGTTGTGTCTCTGACAGGTTTTGGTATCAGGATGATGCTGGCCTCATAAAATGAGTTAGGGAGAAGTGCCTCTTTTTCTATTGTTTGGAATAGTTTCAGAAGGAATGATACCAGCTCCTCTTTGTATCTCTGGTAGAATTCGACTATGAATCCATCTGCTCCTGGACTTTTTTGTTGGTAGGCTATTAATGACTGCCTCAATTTGAGAACTTGTTATTGGTCTATTTGGGGATTCAACTTCTTCCTGATTTAGTCTTGGGAGGGTGTCTGTGTCCAGGAATTTATCCATTTCTTCTGGATTTTCTAGTTTATTTGCGTAGAGGTGTTTATAGTATTATCTGATGGTAGTTTGTATTTCTGTGGGATCAGTGGTGATATCTCCTTTATCATTTTTTATGTGTCTATTTGATTCTTCTCTCTTTTTCTTTATTAGTCTGGCTAGTGATCTATCTATTTTGTTAATCTTTTTAAAAACCAGCTGCTGGATTCATTGATTTTTTGAAGGGTTTTTCGTGTCTCGATCTCCTTCGGTTCTTCTCTGATATTAATTATTTTTTGTCTTCTGCTAGCTTTTGAATTTGTTTGCTCTTGCTTCTCTGGTTCTTTTAATTGTGATGTTACGGTATCAATTTTAGATCTTTCCCGCTTCCTCCTGTGGGCATGTAGTGTTATAAATTTCCCTCGGAGCACTACTTTAGCTGTGTCCCAGAGATTCTGGTACATTTTGTCTTTGTTCTCATTGGTTTCAAAGAACTTACTTTATTTCTGCCTTAAATTCATTATTTACCCAGTAGTCATTCAGGAGCAGGTTGCTCAGTTCCCATGTAGTTGTGTGGTTTTGAGTGAGCTTCTTAATCCTGCGTTCTAATTTGATTGCACTGTGATCTGAGAGACTGCTTGTTATTATTTCTGTTATTTTGCATTTGCTGAGGAGTGTTTTACTTCCAATTATGTGGTGAATTTTAGAATAAGTGTGATGTGGTGCTGAGAAGAATGTGTATTCTGTTGATTTGGGGTGGAGAGATCTGTAGATGTCTATTAGGTCCACTTGGTCCAGAGCTGAATTCAAGTCCTGAACATCCTTGTTAATTTTCTGTCATGTTGATCTGACTAATATTGACAGTGGGGTGTTAAAGTCTCCCACTATTATTGTGTGGGAGTCTAACTCTCTTTGTAGGTCTCTGCGAACTTGCTTTATGAATCTGGGTATTCCTGTATTGGGTGCAAGGAAACCCAATGCACCTTCTGTTT